TGGAGCCTATCCCAGGGAGCATCGGGCACAAGGCGGGGTCCACAAAGAAATGAGCTTTTCAAATCATTTATTCAACAGAAATATCAATAAATATGATATTCTTCTGTGGAAAAATCAAGTACACCCTTGGCCTCAGAAGCTAGTATTGCCCCCTTTAGCAGAAATAACTTGGCCACCAGTCCCTGATATCAGCCTGCTGGAATTTTTGACCACTCTTCCATGCAACAATCTTTCACTGCACGATGTTTGAGAGCTCTTTCTCGTACTGCCCAGTTCAAATCCCTGAATTTTCACATTTCTTTCCCACATTTATTTTTCTTTGATTGTGATTTTTGGTAGAGCAGTATTTTGTCCTCCGAACCTAAAGTAATTATTCACGATGAAACAAAAACGAAATAGAAATTAAATCAATTCAGGGTGAATTTTAAGCGCTTTTGAAGTACCTGAACAAATTCCAAAAAAGTTGTTGAACTCAAATCTAAATCTTCGATGCGTTTCCATCAGCTACTCAGAATGAAGAGTTTGAAGTGGAGAAAAATCATGATGTAATCAAACAGCAGTAATGGAGATACAAATACACTCTCTCTCGAAGTCATTACTTATGTTTAAAAATCTGCTCGCAGGACCTGTAAAAACATCACAGCCAAAAAGTTTCAGCATATTTGTGGGTATTGATAAAGTTTTCAGTCAGGTGAATGGAAGTAACCTCAAACACAGAACACAAGCTTTTTATCTTCAGGCCTTTATTAACCTGTGCTGACCCTGAGTGTGTGTGTGTGTGTGTGTGTGTGTGTGTGTGTGTGTGATGTAAGAAATGTAAATGTGTGTGGAGGGAGACCCCACACAGGGTCTCCGCTGTGCAGTGATGTCATCCACTAATGAGGCCAATTTTAGCTGTGAGTTTGACACTTTCTCGTTAATCACAGCTCTGGGAGAAACATCCGGAAGGTTCAGATGGGGAGGGAAGTGCCCTATTTTCCACAAATTCAACTGAGGAAGTCTTGCATCGTCCTGTATGACAGGTCACGCAAGGTCACAAAGTGAGAGACCTCCAGATGACCGCTGGGTCACGCGTGGTTCCTGCACTAGAGCAGTGGTTCATTATCACTATTACTGAAATCATTTGAAATCAGGATGATGTGACGCTGCTGTCGAGGCGAAAACCTTACATCACGATACCGGAAGATGGTTCATGAGGCACGTTTCGATATTTTTAATTCGGAAATAGTACAAAACGAACTGTAAGAAATGATCTACAGTTGTTACTCTGAGTAGCAATGAAGATGGAGTTGGTGGATGTTCTAAAAGTACTGAAGATGGTACTGTCAGAAAAGTGTATTATGTCAATCATATCATCATCATCATGACCCCTCTGACCTCGTAGTGATCATAGTGAACACCACAGCGCATTTTTAAATCCAGGAACTGATTTGATCTTGCTCAGAGTTGATACGTTATTTAACTCATTTAAGCAAAAACCTCCAGACTGACCCCTGAAAGCACAAAAGGAAGCATTTTTTCGAGAACTGGCCTACTTCTGCAGCCGTTTTCATTCTTGGAGGGGTCACACGGGCACCTGAGTGGGAGTGGAGGTCCCATGTGTGACGAGGGGAAACCCTGAAAACTGTTAAAATATCAGCAGGCTCCCAGTGTCCTGCCGGAGAACCGGACAGGAGCAGAAGAGCGCGGCCTGGGTGACCCCAAACCGTACAGAATGACCGGAAACCGCTCCTGTGGTAGCGTTCAGCACGCTAGCGCTTTGAGCCGAGCCGCTAACAGCGTCTTTAAAGAGCGGCCCACATGCTGAGCACACACATGCGAGGCACCTCTACACTCTTCCTGTATGCGGCGTTTTTAACGCTGTTTGTTTGCTTAGGCCTCAGGCTGGTGCGACACGATGCCGGTCATTGTTTGGGTCAGATCAGAGTGGGGCATCATGGGTGGCACGTGGTGATTTGTGGAGGTGTTGTGGACACACCTGGACTAGCTGAGGAGCTCTGTGTACTGTGTACAGTGTGGACTGTGAGAGAGTTATGTATGGATGTGTATGAGGACAGGATACACACCCCAGTGAGACACACAATACACATCCTACAACGGAGTTCTCAGTCCTGAAGACTCTCCCACAGAGGAAAACTTATTGTTACAATGCACTTGTACTGGAGACTCCTTCCATCAATGTTATAAGCAAGACTTACAGTAATATTATACAGTTTAGATTTTTTTTGTTAAACAACAATGGTCCACCATACAAGCACCACACCACCCTGTAAATGAGCTGTTACTATGGAAACAATATTTACCTTGCATAGCTGCTGTTATAAACATTAACACCAACACCACATGTATACTATAATAAGCATAGTTCTTCTGTTGAAGGTTTTGTCATCATAACTAAGGTTTTGGAAACAGTCAGAAGTACTGAACGTAGTAATCGTTAGAGGTTGCCGGAACTATCGTCAGCAAAAATCCACACCAATATCGGCAGAGAAGGGTTCCCTGTCATTATATAGTGTTAGAGCGGCCTCTAGAGGCGAAATAATCATTGTGTCGTGTTATTTGAAGTGTTTTTTGATTCATTATGGAGGTCTCTATTTTTATTTGTTATTTGGAGTGTTACTTTTTGGTTCAGCTTGGATGTACATCTTTTATTTGCACTAATATTTATTAATAGTTTAATATATACATATACAATACCGATAAAAAACAAAACAATAAAAACAACAAAGAAATAAACAGCGGTGCAGGCTCCCAACACTCATCCTGAGCATTTTAGTGTTTCTGAAGGACCAGTGGTGGTCCAGGACCAGGGCTGGGAACCTGCGACCTACAGTAAGTGTTTATAATCATATTCACACCACAAAGTGTGTTGGAGTGTGTGAAGGTGGTATTAATGAGCTGGACTTACCGAAGTGCCCAGATACTGCAGCGTGATCTCCCCTGCAGCGTTACGGGATAAACACTGAAACAAGAAACAGCCAGTCAAAAATCTCTCTCACACACACACACTCTCTCTGTGTGGATCTGAGAGAGAGCTAGCATGTACACGCACATGATGGAAGTGTGTGTGTGTGTGTGTGTGTTCACCTGCAGAACTCTGTGGTTGCCATTAATGGTGAGGGGCAGAAGTACAGAGGCCAGATTCCACTCTCCAGACACATCCACTTTCTCTCCATCAATCTCCACCTACACACACACACACACACACACACACACACACACACACACACACACACACAAAGAGAGCAGTAGCGGTCAGCATGTGGTACAAGAATGAAATTCAGTATCAGTGTCAACAGTGAAGAGAGTGTGTATTAGCCTGTTCTCACAGGTGTTTGATTCTCTGTGTGTGTGTGTGTGTGTGTGTGTGTAGACTTGACTTGCTTAACAGCTTTAGTGTTCAATGCATTTGAGCCTAATGAGATACAGACAGAGCAAACAGTAGATCAGCGGTAGAGCTACGCGATGTGTTCGTGTCGTATCGCTGGCTGAAGGTCAATCTTTTCACTTTCTCGAGCAAAGAAAATCAAACTAGGATGCATCGGAATATTATCACAAACCTTACATTTGAGAACACTTTAGAGTTTTACCCATAGCGCATAACCAGGACAGCTGAAGATTAGAAAAAGTCCAGGCAAGGCTTTCCTAACCTTCAACTGCCCTGTGCCGAGTGTAGCCTCAGATTCCTGTTCTTGGCTGAGAGGAGAGGAACCTGTTGTGATGGTCTGCTGTTCTAGTCCATCCACCTCAAAGTTTATGTGCGTTCCGAGATGCTTTTCTGCTCAGCACGGTTGTAAAGAGTTAGCACAGTCTTCCTGTCAGCTCGAACCAGTCTAACCATTGACCTCCGACCTCTCTCATTAAGTACTTCTTCCCACAGAGCTGCTTCTCACTGGATGTTTTTTTAGTTTTTGCACCTTTCTGCATGACTGCTGTATATTAAGATCTCAGGAGCTTCTGAAATACTCGAACCAGCCAATGAAACTCAACTACACCACAAAGCCACCGAGATCACATCGTTCCTCGGTTTGTTTTGTCCTTTTTAGAACATGGGATGAATAGGGGATCTACTGCCACACTGAATACATAAATATTCTGCAAATTCGACTAATACATTTATTCTCACAGCCCTGGTGAGTTTGTGTTTTTGTACGATACAAAAGAATGGTGGGACAGGAATGATGGACATCTGGAGCATGAGCACATTCTCCACAGTCCACCTGATGCCTTCAAGAAAAAAGAAAATGGAAAAAAAAAATCAGAAGCTCTGTGGTTTAAACTCAATCCCGTCCCATCTGCACCTTCTCTCTCTCTCACTCTCTCTCTCTCTCTCACACACACACACACACAAAGCAAACTTGAAAACAGTAACAGAAGAGGAGGGGGAGCTCACTTTCAACCCAGAACCACTTGTCTAAACAACAGTACAGATCTTTCCCTGTCAGTGGCCATCTAAACCCCTCAGGACCCCCGAGCCTTCAGAAGCAGGGGGTCCGGGTTTGAAGTGGCGTCCTGCGGCGAACATTTCAGCCCCATTCGATGTAACATGTCTCAGGAGAGAGGCGAGTTGGGATCGGGTCTCCTCAAGCACATGGCATTCATTCCCCTTGATTACGATATGTAGTGTTGGTATAAATAGGTGTATTAATTACGATACTGATGAGCTTAGCTATTATACAAGAGAAACTATTTTCTGATTACATAAACCAACTCTGCTCCTAAATATGCAAACATCTGTGATTTACACAGACATTATAAAATCTTTTTTTTTTGTTACATCCCACATCATTTTAGACATCGTCATGCAGCTCAAATACAAATATTCATCATTTACAAGGCAAGGACCTGACCCCAGATCAGCCCCCAGTACTCCATTTAACATTCACATTCATGGCATTTGGCAGACGCCCTTATCCAGAGTGTGGTACATTTTATCATTTATACATCCGAGAAGTTGAGGGTTAAGGGCCTTGCTCAAGGGTCTAACAGTGGCGGCTCGGCAGTGCAGGGGTTTGAACTTGAGACCTTCCGATCAGTAGCCCAACGTCTTAACCACTCAGCTACCATACTCCACTTTGATGGACGTGAGCACAGGCGTGCCGGTCCAGAGCTGGGAGCAATGATAGGGCTCGACGGAAATGACATTTGTATGGGTCAACTGTGCACAGCTGATCTAGGATCAGAGTCTGCCTCTAAGCCACGCTTAATCCGATTACATGGACCATGGGGCGATGATCCCAGATCGGCACAGGTCCTCTGAGCGCCCTGATCCTTATGGACCCCCGAAGGCATCTCAGAGTGAACATTCACAGGTGTGCAAACACACAGTGACTGAGTGACACGGCAAGCTCCCAGAATTCCCCCTTACACACTGCCACTTCCCTACTCCTTCACCAGATCGGACAGAACGCGATGATGGTTCAAGGCGACAAAGAACGAATTAGAAAAAAAAGACAGAAAGAAAGCGGGAGCTCCGATCGGATCCAATAGGTGAGAAATGGGCTGGGGGATTGTGTCTTTTTGTTGCCACGACAACAGCTTGAGCAGCTCAAGCTATTTACTAAGTTTTAAAATGTAAACGGTGCAGCAGGCTGACATGGGTGGTGTGATTAAGAGGTTCCAACCCCGAAGTGGATGATTTTCCAATAACAGAACATCCAGAAGTGTTTTATTCCCCTTATTCCACATCAATTTAACAACACTTCCATTTTTAAAAATAATTTTTTTAATTAATATATGTATATATGTATATATAATAATATTTAATATTATATATATATAAAATAAAGAATAACAACGCTGCATCCCAATTCGCCTACTATCAGTCCTAAATAGGATCCAAGTTAGTTCCTGTCATCACTTGTGTAATAACAGCTAGTAATAATAATAATAATAATAATAATCGCCGGCTTCTGACACTGGAGACTCCTTCCATGAATGTCAAGTAAATATCTTCACAGACAGTGTCACCAAGAATTACACACAGTCTTTAAATCCATTTATATGGCTCATCTGCTATAGAAGTCCCTGTCTAAGCAGTTACTATAGAAACAATATTAGAGCAAGCGTCTTGAATTATGGCCAGAACTAATGTCCGAGCTGCTGTTATAAAACATTTAACTACAGTGCTGCGATATGATGGATAAATAAATAAAACAAATAAATAAGTGTCATAAATCCACATCTCTGTTGTTTTGTGTAAATTTGTTGTCGATGACGTCTCTGAGCTTTGTACAGACAGTAGAGTATTTCGCTTCTCATGGGCCACATCTAAGCTCCTCATATTAGTATTTTAAGGCGTTTAACTGCTAGAAACGCACGCTGGTGGAAAAAGGGGGTTCGAAAAGACACTCACTGTGTAGTTGGTTCCAGAGCGGGTTACAAACAACATGTGAGCTCCTGTCTCCAATTCCACACACAGCTCCCAGCTCTTCCTCTCCTGACTGGTGTTAGAGACTCTGCAAACACACACACACACACACACACACACACACAAAATGATACACACAGTGGCGGTTTTGACACAAACACCGGTTTGCCGATAAATACTCAGCGGTCTGGATAACGGGCGCTTAGGAACCATTACTGTTGTCACTTGTGGGCGTGGCCTAACCAGCTGTTTAAATACCATCAGGAAACCGTTATAAATAGTATTTATGTATACAGTGTACTGTGCAATATAGACACATTAGTCTCTCAAAAAGTACTTTGTAATAAATCCCAGAACATTTGAGAGAGTGTTAAAATGAGCTCCTATTTCTACACTGTGAAAATAAGAAATTAAATTCAACACAGGCAGGAACTGAATCTGCAAAATTGGGCGATGTTGATGATGAAAAACGAATTTCCTAGAGCCAATCATTTGGTTTTGTTGCTTTATCGCATCATATCTTATTAGCATAAAAGAAAGAAAATGTCACCAGAATTGCAGCTTGCACAGGATGATATAATTAACTCTAGAAATATTGGCACCCTAGCAAAAATTATACATCTTTACTATAATAAAGATAATTCCTAATAATCATAATCATAACTCCTATGATGTTTTAGCCCAAATCCTTTTTGTGTCTGCAGTGACCTTACACACCTATACACTGTTTTCAACAAGATAACGACTATAACCCTACACCCTTTACACACCTTCTTACAGAAAATGGTTGGCAGAAAATCAATATTTCATAATAGCCAATCCTGTCTCTGTAGCTGAACCCTATAAAGACCTGTGGTCTGAACTGAGGAGAAAAAAAATCCGCATACACAGGAATGATAATATAAAGCGGATTAAACTGTTGAAGAGGTCAGTCGAGAGTGCCTCTAAAAATGTCTCCAACCTTGTTACACATTACAGGAAGATATTTTGTTCTCATTGGGGAACGTTACAAATAGCAATGGTGCCAATAATTTTTCAACTGTTTTATTTGAGTATTGTTAAAGTAATACTATACAGTGTATCCTTTGTTTACACTCAAAATAATCAGAGTTTAAGCTTACTTCTTATCATTCCCAGGAAGGGTGCCAATAATTTTTGGAGTTCACCACTAGAATGAGTGTAAACCAAGGGGAAGATTCTCCACTAACTTTGGTCAGTTTGGAAATAAGACATAAGGTGTCAGTCCCAGATGTAAGAAAGACAAACTTTCACTTGTTTATCTCAATAACAAAAGAAGCCACACACACAAAAAAAAAAAAACACACCAGTGTCTGTCCCCTGCCTAATCCTTCCTCCCTGACTTCCTGCTTACAGAACAGCAACCTTACTGATGCTGGACACATGTAGAGCCAAACACACACACACACACACACACACACAAACTGCAGACACAGAGGGCATCGTTTGATTGACAGCTCCTCTGTTACGAGATCTAAAGTAAATCAATTAGTGGGAGAGTTTTTTTCCACTATGGTGGGCCACAGTCACTACAAAGACAGCCACCCATTTACACACACACACACACACACACACACACACTCATGAATAACTTTAGAAAACGATCAAAAAAGTGGAGGCAGGGGAGAGGGAGAGATGTTTGGACAGATGGCTTGGTGGAACGTGTGTTTTTTGGCGAGCGCTACAGATCTCAGAGAAAATAATGAAACTATTAGTGGAGTTAGTAACACGGTGAGTGTCACAGTTTGCAGTTTTATCCATATTTAGGGATCAGTAGTCCGATCTTCAGCTCAGGATAATACTAAACCAGTTTAAACTAGTAAAAACAACCAAGGCCACGGAGTGATGATGTGTAGCAAGCTTGTGCTTGGGATTTAATAAAGTAGATTTGAAAAGCTGATCAGAACACCGCTTGGTTAAATGCTCGATTCGGATTGGTCAGAAGGTCTTGATTAATCTTCTATAACAGCAACTCTGACAGCAGATCCAGGAACAATGTTTATATTTACAAGCTTGCCCCAATACGTGATCATTTCTATAGTACAGCTTCAGACAGGGGTTTGTATAGAGGACACTCTACATAAATACTGCTTTCAAATGTGTGTAATTATTGATATTTCTGTGAGGAGACTTTTTATGTTGCATTTTAACGAAGGAGTCTCGAGTTGACGTGAAGTCTTCAAGACACAGGACACAGGAATTTGGGCAGGGTCTTTTCTCTACCACGTCAAGCTGGATTACTTTGTCTTATCAAGTTCAAAAGAGGTTGGTGACGGATTGACGTTTATAGCTGCTATAAGGAAGTTAAACAGCAGCAGCAGACGCTACACAACATTAAATGTAAGTATAAATGGATATAAAGTGGGATGTGTAGTTTTAAAAAATTTTTTTTGTATTCATTGGTAAATGACTGCATAAGAGAAACAAAACACTATTAACGGTGGCGGCTTTGTCTATGTATCGGTCCGCCGGTTGAAGGAGGCGTGGCCTATGTATCTGGCAATCCCTGTAAAAGAGGTGTGGCCTATATATCTGGCAATCCCTGTAAAAGAGGTGTGGCCTATGTATCTGGCAGTCCCTGTAAAAGAGGTGTGGCCTATGTATCTGGCAATCCCTGTAAAAGAGGTGTGGCCTATGTATCTGGCAGTCCCTGTAAAAGAGGTGCGGCCTATGTATCTGGCAATCCCTGTAAAAGAGGTGTGGCCTATGTATATGTCAATCCCAAATGCGCTGTTATTGGAAAATAATCAACTGCAGGATGGGAACATTAGCTCAGCTTCATGTCAGGCTCCATCACACCGCCCTGTCGTTGATTATATTCTTATAACGGCACATCCCAACAGTTTTATTCCTTAATGCACTGATTGTGGTGTAGAGCTGTCTACAGAACTGCAGCAAGTAGCATAGCTATTAGTTTAGTATTAGTACATCGTCCAGTTAGGTGATTGATACTCTTTAAATAAAGTAGCGTCTAATAGGAAGGGCGCACTAAATAGGAAACTAAATCAACAATACTGAAGTTGAGCATTTTCCTACAGCAGGATGTCCTCAAAGGATTTAATTCCTTTTACACAAAATCAATTTTATCATTTATTTATTTTAAATAAATAATAATAAAAATAATTGGCACATTATACCTTTTATCCATTTAAAGTTACATTTAATGTTGTGGAACGTCTATAAAAGAAGTTATCATTTATGGTAGAGCATCTGTTACCTCACTCTCTCTCTCTGGAAGATAATGAGAAGAAAAATGCAGCTCGTTACATAATTGAGAAACTGCAAAGTACAACATCCTCTGTCCTGAAAACTTTCCCCACGGCAGAAATCCTACAACATCTCCTGCTTACACAAAGCATCACCAGAGCCTTTATATTATATTTTTATATATACACATCCATGCGAACAAACTGTTACTATAGAAATGATGTATTAGAACGAATGCACTAATATAAACCTGCGATTTGTCCTAAAGTTACATCATAGCCATGTTGTTATGGAGAATTCATCAACACCTCATGACCAATCAGAATGGAGAATTCAGCAGCGCTGTGGTAGAACGTTTTAATGCTTTAAACTCGTGAAGCTTTTTTCATTTTCTCCTCCCATTCTCACCAGTTGTTATTTATAGCTTTAATTCAGTAAGCAATAAAACGGGGTTTGCTTCAGCTCATGTATTGTC